TTGAAACAGTTGGCCCCATGCACATATGTGATTTCCCACATTTCTGGGGAAATGAACTATGTCCTTGTCATCAATATTAGAGAAAAATCTCATAGATGAACAAATGGAGATGGAACGTAGATAAATGTTCGTTCTATGAAAGATAACATGAAACAATATTAAGGTTGCAGACTAACCAATCGTGTCGTTTATCAGAAATGGCACATAGACAGTTCATTAATTTGTTGAACAACAACAAATTGAAAGGATCCAACTATGCATTCTGATTTCGTAACCTAAAGCCGGTGCTCACGTCCGAGAAATTGGATAAGGTTACAAAAAACCTAGCATTGGAACGTCTGGGTGATAGGGCTTTTGAGTCTCTTTAAATTGTTTGACATTGTATGCCTTTAGCTCCAATCAAATTGATGTACAAATACATTGTTGTTTCATGTTTATATTGGTATGCTTTAGTGTAATTACCCCTTAAACTAGACACTTATGAGACTCGTGTTAGTTTAGCTTAGCCATTGGATAAACTTAGAAAGTTTATCTTGCCAAGGCTAACACTGGTGTGCTGCCAAAGAAGTCGGGGTAGCTTATCTCAACTACTAGGGTTAAACTTGAAGCACATGCAATATATGTTTGGATGAAACACCAAACCTAGACCATTTTCTAGTTATATCCTAGACCTTGGAGATTGATGGGCAAAACTGAAAAAATATACATATTCCCTAGACTTGATCATGGTACTACACTAGGTGTTGGATTGGGTTGCCTTTGACACGCCAATCAATGAAATTCATCGAGGGTCAAAACCTAGGTATGTTGAGGCAATCTGAGAATTTTTATGAGTGGGTGATCATAGTGATATGATCGGCCCCTTTGTCAAACAAAGTGAATGATATGGCTTACAGTCTCTCTGATAGAAACATAAACTACTGCCAGTGAATTTCAATAGTGTTTTGAAATATGGTTTTGCAAAATATATTTATGATATGATATGACATATATATATATGAATGGTTTATAAAAATGTTTGAAAAAAAGTTTTAATTCCCAGAATCCATCTGAGTAGAGTGTGACATTGCACCTTGCAGATAGGGGAGAGGTCCCTCCCTATCGGGTAGTGTTGTGATCATTATGGACTGAGGTTAAGTGTAAGAGACCATTATAGGGCTGATTACCCAATGGGTTTTATCTTACTTAAGTCCATTATCCTTGGATTTTCATAAGATGGCGGAATTCAATGATCATTTAAGTGTAAATGTTGGGCTCATATTGAGCCCATAGTGATGTGCTCAGGGGTTCACTATGTTTGGTAGTGAATTCGGCCAAGCCTTTTCACAGAGGTTGGGCCAAACCCATGTGGGCTTATGTGAGGTCATTGTGGGTCCCATGCCATACAAATCATGCCGAAATTGGCCATGTAACACCCTTGGGTCGTCGAGCCTTATAGCTGATGGTACTAAGGCCCAAAATTAATATGATTAATAAAGCTATCACATGACAAATTAAGTTTTCATGTGCCATGGAGTGAATATGGGTATAAAGCACCTAATCTTATAAGAAGATAAGGTATATCTCTAATTAAAGTCTAGATGTGATTTGGATTTAGATTATCTTCTAATTAGATTAGGAAATAGCTCTATAAGAGATTATAAAAGAGGAGGGGCAAACCAGTCTAAAGCAATTTCATATTTTTGCAATTTCTGGTTATCTCTACACCCTTTTGTCTCCTAGTTTTTTTCCAGTTCGACATTAGCTATATGGGACTAATTTGGATCCATTTTCCTCTAATTTTTGCAAGAAAATTTTAGAGAATATCAGGCTCATCATCCTCGATTCGATCCAAGCAGTTAGATTTCAGTTTTGCTAAAAACTGTGTTCAGTGGAGGCTGATTTTAGGACCAATTTGGGCATGAACTTCCACCTTGGGATCTGCATTTGTGGTATCTGTATCAAGTATATATCTCCTTTGTTTGGTTTAAAATATGGTCCAGTTCAGTGCAAGACCAATCTTGAAAAATGTAATTTTTCAAAACATTGAGAATTCAATTCCCAAAAAGATTATGAAATTTTTGAAATTTCGCCTAGCCATGCATGGTTCAGCCATCCATATGATGGATCCTAATTGAATCATAACCCTTCCAACAGTGGTATCAAAGCATTAGGTTCAACCCTTGGACTGAACCAAACCAATTTGAGTAGTTAGCAGAAATCTTTGATAATTCGGTTCTCAAAGTGGGCCAATAATCTAAAATTTTTATATATGTTCTGATATATTATAGAATTAATCTATTATGGATTCTTGAATTCTTGGGTTGAAAGTGTGATAGAGATTGAACTCTTGATGGTGGCAAGATCAGTGCACACCAAATTTATTAATTTGAGTATTTGGTCTATAATTAATTATTTTCTTTTTTAAAAAGAATGTATTAGGATTTTGAGTAAACTAATATAGTAGTTGCTAATATTTTTTAAATATATACATTTCAGTAATCAATTAATTTTTAGATAATTTTTGATACACATGTTATAATAGAAAATATTGGAAGGTAAAACTTTAAAACCTTAGTGTTGGGCATTTCTACCCAACCTGAAAAATTCTAATCGTCTAGGCCCTGCCTAATTTAGACCCACATCTAGCCCGTAGCTAATGCGAGCCAGGCCTAGGCCTAAGCCCGTTATATACACATGTATATGGGTCCAACACCAGAAAAGCATGAGAACTAAAAGAGCCATTTACTTAGACACCCCTATAGTTTTGCTTCTTTTTTTTTTTACAATCATACCCAATCACCCACTCAATGAGAATATAACCAGTATAACCAAGCATCCATATTTCAGGATTTCTACCCATGACCAACCCCGGAATCCATAGTGATATTAAGTTATTGGAGCCAAGGTTCAAAAAATCATTATGCATCGACCGTATCGATCGATACATATCATATCGGGAGAACCCCGACACGTGCCTACAAAGGGTGTATTAGGGTTTTGACCGGTTCAAGGGGTAGAGAAACCTTAAACCAGCCCCACTGAACAAGATTTGAAAAAAAAAAGTTTAAAAAAAAAATAAAAAAAAAACAATACCAATACTAACCAATATGCCCCTACCAGTGTATCAAGCATATCGATATTTAGAACCTTGGTTGGAGCCATCGGGTAATGCCACACTCTCAAACTCCAAGTTTTCCATTCAAGGCTCAAGGTATCAAAAAGAATTTGGCTGTTGGGGTTCAATAGCCTATGCTGTTGAGAGAATTTTTAGGAATGCCATGTTACTTGGGGGTCAACAGCCTAATTTATTTTCATAAAAAACAAAGGCATGAGCGTGAATAGGTGAACGTGCCCAACCCAAAAACTCTTTCAACAGCATTGGCTGTTGACCCAACAGCGAAAGTTATCCCCAAGGTATCAATCAATAAATGATTTTGCGATTAGTCTTAAAAATAAGGCATATTGGCCACCTGCCGATACAATCTGATATGCCTAACCTATCCCCTGTAGAAGTGTTATTGAAGATTTGATCTCACGTATCAACATTTAAGTCGAGCCATTATGTTCTCAACATTTGCATCTTCAATCCATCAATCCTCTTTACAAGGAGTGTTAATGATGTTTTTGAACAATGAAAAAAAAATTATGTATTGGTTATATGAAGTTATGAACAATTGATTTCTAAGCCGAGACCTGCAAACAAAAAATCTGCATAGCATCTAGCCACACATTGAGAAAATCTCCCGTACATTTATGTTTATTTATTCATGGGAAGATGTTCTCAATGTACAGCAGGGTTCCAATGCTATCACGGTGTGTGCAGCGATTTTGTAGACAAATTCACAAACCATGGTTTCTAGGGTGTTCATCAACCATCAGTCATCATACGAGATAACTAAGAACCGAAAAATCGGTCATCACATGAAGCGCAGGATAAGCGGTGGTATATGAAATATCAATGTAATTTGACCGCGATTCTGAAGATATACAAACAATTCTTAATGGAAGGCAGATTAAGTGGTTCCAACGTAAAACAATGGAAAAGGACTTCAATTCCTTTTTTTTTTATTTTTGATAGAAGAGAACTTGTAAAGTGAAAAATCAATTATGTCATTTGAATATAAAGAAAGGGGAGAAAGGTTTGAATTGGAAGTTAATGAGAGAATCATAGCTTAATATGGATAAACATGGGGGTAATGAGGCAAGTAGCGTACAAGTTTCAATGGAATTACGGCCATTCCGTCCATGCCGCTTCAATAATTCGAAGTTTCAAACCTTCAATACCACCAATTATTAAGCAAGTACTGTTCTCGGCAAGGATACTGGATAATACCTTTCACTTGAAATTTTAAAGCAACGTCGAATGAACGAATGAATGAACGAGTCGTTAATAATTTGAGATGAAGCGCCTACACTACAGATATCAAAGTTACCACGACAACACCACAAGTAGCGTAGGTTTCCTTGAGAATTGCCTAATCCACTAATTTATCACAAGGACCACAATTGAGGAGCCAAAAAATGATTATTAGTTAAGCAAGCTGAAGCACTGACTGAGCGGAAGAAAGTTGGCATTTGCAGACCAAAAACCAAACGATCTTGATTCCACATTTCCATGGTCAACCATTAAAGAGGACTAATTAAGTTCAAGCCTTCAATTCAAGCCTTATATCAAATCGCACGCCTTGGACACGAACATCCAGACCCAGAAAACATGAATGAAATATCTATTAGGTCATCCCTTCCAGCTTCAAAACGAAAGGATACAACAACTTAAATATACCAGTTATTTTATGCACGCACAGAAAAGTGAAAACATCGTATGACAATACTAATAAGCCCAGAACATCGGAGATACCGAGCCAGGAACTTGTGACAGAAATTTGTGGTTAAATCACCAAGGACAGAACCCATGGCCCTGTACCGTGTTTAAGGGCATGAATTTCAAATTTTATTTTTCAAGGATTTGGCTTCCATGGAGAATTTATGATGCCTTCAAATAATTTCTGCAAAGATCATCTTGCTAACCCACCCCCAAAAAAACACCATTACATTAAAACCGCTGACCCAGTACCAGAGTTCATTTCTAGTTTTACCGAGTATATGAAGATAAAAAACCTAAGAGGGATCCAGAACCATCCCATTACTACAGGCATACTACCTCAGCTCTGCGGAGACAAATTAAAACAAATGGAAAACACAAAAATACTGCATGGCTTCAATCCTATCATTCTGCAGATTCTATCTATAAATGCAACCAGGAAATCTACATAACATACCTACCAGAATAGACAAAAGTCCAATTCCAAAATTATAGGAACCTAACTTCAAACAAACAACAAGAACCAACCTGTAAAAGATATCACCAGCACCTTGCCTGACATGGTGTGTTCTGAGAGTAGGGTAGAAACAAAATAAAAGACCACAAATGACATTACCCAGTAGTAAACCAGTAGACAAGGGGTTGCTGCTAATACAACAACTTGACACTGATCATGAGAAGGCAGAGTAACTCAACAACCGCTGCAACATGACGACGACAAGACTCAACTTTTCAGACACCCATATTGAGCAAGCCGGACGAAGACTCTGGACCTTCTCAACCCTCAAAAGGGTTCTAGTACTCACTGGAACAATAGACAACTATGTATCAATGTATGCAATGGGATGCACAAACACAATTTTAGGAAAGAAAGAAGAGCAACCATTCCAATAAGAGATGTTTTTTCCCTCTTTGATCGGTGAATAAGAGATGATTGCAACTATAATGTTTATTGAGTTTGTGATGTCTAACATGTACAAGGAAGACCATTAATTGAAAATATGGGCATTTAAAGGAACAAGTAGACATAAATATCTCACAACAAACCTGTTCATCGTCATCAGATGTTTGTGCAGGAGACTTGCTTGTCTCTGATGGTTTTTCTGCCCCACAGTTCTGTCTATTGCACTTGGTCCTAAATGGGTAGTTTATATTGTTACATTTCTCACACTTCCAGCTACCTTCTGGCATCTTTTGTTCTGCAAGACAGGTAGTTCATAATGAGAATTGAAATGTCAAGCTAATAGAAATTGACAGGTTCCCAGTATAAACCAAAAAAAGACTTACTAGAATTTTTCTCTGATTTGGCAGCCTGCACCAGAAAACAAAAGCTCAATATAAGATGTACAAGAAAATGGGATGAATTTTTTTAGGAGGTGACAAAGGAAAGGTTTAACCAAACGAAAAATAGTATGTGTGCACCCAAAGAAAATGCCAAGCCATAATGTAAAAACCAGCCACCAGGAAAAGAAATTATACAGAAAAGAGAACGAGTATTTTGCCATTTCATCCAACAAGGATGCAGCAATACAAACCTGTGACCCAGGCTTTGGGGTATTGCACTTCCTCATGTTGCAAACTGTTCTAAAAGAAAAGTTAACATTCCCGCAATTGGGGCATGTCCAATCATTGTCACGTGTTGTATCTATGGAAACCAGAAAAAGGCATTACAATTAGCGTATCAAAGAAGACATTGCAGTGGAAAATCCACAAGAATGCACAAACAACTTAGATTAGGCCTACCTGCAGGCTTCTTTGGAGGCTCATCTGGAAAGACTCCTGGCCTTGCCCCCTGCACCAAAATACCATACATCTAATAATATATACACCTCATAAAAACCACTGTAATTCAAAACACCATCCATGCAAGATCAACCAATCAGATAGTGTTCCCTGAAGTGAACTACATCACTTGCATGCAACACGAAATGCCAAACTCGTGTCAGAAGAAAAAAAAAAAGCTCAAGTACAGCTCAAATAAGGGCCAAAGCTTATCATCGAGTTGAGTGGTCCTTTCTCCATAGTTTTAGAAAAACTGGGATTTGGGACTAAATGGATATCTTGGAAATGGAGTGCGTATTTTCAGTTTCCTACCAAATTTTAATCAATGGGAAACCTAGTAGGAGGATCTTCATTCTAAAGGCCTCAGACAGGGATTCCCTGTCCCCCCTATCTTTTACTTCTTTGTGCTGAAGCCCTTTCTCTAGTAATTGAGAAGCTGTCAAACTCATAAAATAGCTAGACAATGTCTGAAAATCACTCGTTTATTCTTTGCAGATGACGGTTACATCTTCACAAGGGCAAAGCTTGGAAGGATGAAACCTTTTGGCAGCTATCAAGGAGTATGGAAGAATCTTTGGCCAGCAGGTGAACCTCTCAATATCTGAAGTTTTCTTTAGCAAGAGTGCTCATCCTAAATTAAGGAAAATCTTAGACAAAAGTCGTCATTTAAAAAATGTTGCCACTCCATCTATCTACTTAAAGTTGCTTGCCTCTATTGGAAGATCCAAAAAAGAGGTTTTTAACTACCACATAGAGAGAGTGGAGAGGAAAACCTCCCCCTGGCACAAACAACTGGTCTCCTCTGTTGGCAAGTAAGTACTTCTGAAGTCTGTGGCCACAGCTATTCCTAGTTATACTATGTCCTGCTTTTTACTCCCAGATTGGATTCTCTCTGACCTCTCCAAAGTGCACAGAGCTTTCTGGTGGGGAAATACAAAAGATAAAGAAAAAAGAATAAATTGGATTAGTTGGAAAAAGCTGTTTGAAATCAAAGGCAATTGTGGCCCTGGGTTCAGGGATGCAAAATCTTTTTAACCTTGCTCTGCTAGCAAAGCTAACATGGAGACGTTGCACAAACAAGGAGTGTATGTGGGCAAAGATTATGAAAGCCAAATATTATCCCAAGTCAAACTTGGGGGGTGGAGAAGCATCCTTGCAGGGAGAGAAGTGCTTCTCAAGGGAGTTTGCTGGTCTATATGCTCGGGTGAGGAAGTAGACATCTGGTTGGACCCTTGGATTCCTAATCTTAGTGGTTTTTTAGGGTCATGGGACCAAGTACGGGGCCAATGGGAGCTTCGAAGGTCAAAGATTTAATTGACCAAAGGAGCAGGAGTTAGAACCTCTCTTTCCCTATGAAATCACACCAAAAATTGTTGACATAAGGCTTTCCCAATTTAGTTGACCTGACTCTCTTGTCTGGGTGCTGGATTCAAAAGGTATGTTTCTCTGTGAAATCAGCTTATCATGCAATTAGGAGTAATTTTGTTGAGACTTCTAGCCCAAACTCCTCTAGAAAGAGCTTCTCGGATTCCATTTGGAGACTCCCTGTTGGGCAAAAAGTGAAATCATTCCTCTGGAAAAGAGCTAGTAAGGCCTCGGCAGTTAACCAGCAGTTACGGAAAAGGAATATCCTCCCCTCCCCACTTTGTCCGGTGTGCCAACAGAATGCAGAAACAATTTTCCATGCCTTGTGTGTCTGTTCTTTTGCAAAAAGCATTTGGTTTGGTGGGAATCTGGGGTTCAGAACTGAATCTTATCCCTCTGATTTTGATTTCTCTGTTTGGATCAAACAAACCTTCAAAGAATGCTCAAGAAATAAATCCTCAAAAGTTTTTAATGTTTTCTATTTGGCCCTTTCTCTGTGGTCTATTTGGAAAGGTAGGAACAGTTTTATCTTTGAAAATACTAACCTGGACCCTCTTTCTACTATAAATAGTATTAACAGGAATGTGTAGGAAAGGCTGGCCACCTGCAAGTCAGCACTCTGGCCACCAGGCTGACTGCGAGAAAAGAAGCTCTAGTTTCTTTTTGGATCCCTCCGGATTATGGATGGTTAAAGGTAAACACTGATGGAAGTTTCTTTTATAACAATAAAGGTTCCTTTTGTGTGGTTATTAGAAACTGCAGGGAAGGACTATTGCAGGCTCCTGTGGTTTTTTTACCAAGATTCTTCTCCCCTTGATGCCAAAGCTATTTCCTTTTTGGAAGGCCTTAAATTGCTGAGGACTGCTGACCCGTCACAGTCCCAAGTGGTTTTTGAAAGTGATTGCAGGAACCTGGTTTCTGCTCTTGAAAGCTTGAATTTTAGACCTTGCTGCAGTGCGCTTTTTTATCAAAGATGCCAGATTCTGGATTCAAAATCTCAGATTGAAGTTGTCATGTAGTCATGGTTTTGCTCTGAAGCGATGGTCCTTGGTTGATTCTTTCTTCTCCCAGGTTCCAAACTGGGCTCAGCAAGTTCTCTTCGATTCTAGAGATCTCTTTGTTTAGTTTCTAGTTTTTGTTTTGCTGTTTAGTTTTCTGTTTCTGTTTGTTTTACTTTTCTGGTTGTATTCTGGACTACCAAAAAGATAGAATTAGGGCCAACATGACTGATGACCCTAAATCTTATTTTACTTCTTCCACTTTGGTTAAATTGAATGGCTCCAAAATGGGCTGAGTACAGCTAAAAAAAGGAATAAAAAAGAAGAAAAAAAAACCATATTGGCAAAAGTTCTAACAAACAACCATAGAGAAGCAATTCATGCAACCATTGAAGTGTAAGACTAACCAATAACTGCATACATACCATAGCATGGCCCATGGGTAAACCCAAGCCATAACGATCCATTAGAGGGGGCATACCGTACATCCCACCTAGGAAAATAAGAATCCTTAATAAAGTAACCCGAAAGCATATATTTTAAAAGATGCAATAAAGGTGAAGAAAGGAAATATAAACATCTTGGTTAATAGAACAAATGCAGATAAAAATGGAAAGGAAAGGAAAGGAAAGGAAAATAAGTTGGAAGAGAGATTACCACTCCCCAACATAGATCCACTGGAATATGGTGATGGTCCAGACAAATGCAGCGGACCATATGGGCTGCCAGCAGAAAGGCGGCTCCCATAATCATAATGATATCCAGAACCTCCAGAGAACCGAAGATCATAGGGAGGAAGAGAAGTTCCATTGAACAGTGAAGACCCATATGGAGGGACACCCAGGTACATAGAAGAAGGTGCACCTGACCCTAGATAGGCAGCTGATGAAGAGTAACTCTGAGGGGCTTGAATTGGCTTTGCAGCAGATTTCTGAAATGCAGGAACAAATTGGGTGAGAACACATAAGAAATAAAGCTCATCTGTTACCCTTGCAAAAAAGATGTGAAAAATTAAATAATGTCCACTATGACTAAACATTTGTTCAGCATTATTGAAAGGAAAAGGGGCAGAATAAACTAAGCAAAAGCACCAAGTACAAAAAAAAGGTTGAGTTTTGCACACAAATCAGCAGTTTGATAAAAATCCACAAATTTTCAAGTTGGGCACAGACATACCTTTCTTGCTTGTTCTGTTGTGACATGCATTTATTTTTATTTACATTATGCAAGAGTTGCTTCATCTAATTGCGACTGTTCCAAATAATTGTCTTTCTTTTCTGAAGGGTCAGATGAGAACCATAACAGGACTTCTTTTTGTGATGAAAGAATTGAGTAAGCTCCATTCACTGCTCTTACTATCTATTTACATGGTTTTGGGGATTTACTTTGAGAGAGAGGGGGAGTCATTTTCAGGTGCAAAGGCTTGGCTTAGCCACTGGTTCCAGCTCTATTTTATGGTCCAATGGTCATCTCCATTGTTGGTTCTTTGACACTAAGGCATGAAGTTTTTTGACACTAAGCCATTTTATCTCCAGCTGTATTCTAATTTACATTTGTTGATCAAGAAAGTCTTCCAATTCTAGTTCTTCATTACCAATTATCTTTGTGGCAATAGCTGTTCTAATTTTCCACCTTTTGCCTTCCATAGCCGCAGCCAGCTCTAGCTTACCAATATCCGGGTATTCTGTATTTCTGCATTGATTTGTATTCTGTTCAAACCTTCAAAAGTAACTTCACGGTAGCAATTGCATTGAAAGCATCAAGATTAACAAGTCCTCTCATTACAACAGTCCTAATGATAATAGCATCCTGTACCTTTTTCCATTCCACTATTGTCTCACGGTAATGTACCAAGGAGAATTAGGGTTTTATTAATTACATAATGGATCACTCACTATTTTAATTCATAGTTTTAAAGGCACTGAGGCGAGGCATTGAGTTGCATGCCTCAAGGCGAGGTAGAGCCAAAACCTCTGGCCTCAGGCACCTTGCCCCTCTACTAATAGGCCACTGCCTCTATTTTTGAGAGGCATATACACATCACCACCTCACACCTCAAATTGGTGAGGTGTACGACTCATACAAAAAAAAGTAAAATTGAAAAAGAAAGAAAAGAAAATATCATAAATTTGTTATAATGCTTCTTATGATTTAAAAATGATTATTTAGTTGTTTATAAATAAAATAAATCAATTTATACTAAAAAGTTTCCATAATACTTCTTTTAAACCAAAAATGTCATTTGTTTCTCTTACTAAATGTACATGTTATAATAGGGTTTCTTTTTCTTTTCCCCCTTTTGCTGGCTCTAAATTTCACCATTTATAAATTAGATTTTATATATATATATATATATATATATATATATATATATATATACAAATATGTGCAAATTAAATAATTGGATAATTTTATTTAGTTATTATTACCATAAAACATAATTTTAAGACAAAATAATATAAATATAAAAATTGCTATAAAATAAACAGTGTACTCTTATTTGTGAATCCAAGAACAGAATAGAAACCAAACTCTTTTCCTTATATAAACTCTAGCTATGTAGCTCTTCTCTACGTTGACCTTCAAATTGGGCATCTTAACAAAATTCAAACAACATAATTTGTGAATCCAAGAACAGAATAGAAACCAAACTCTTTTCCTTATATAAACTCTAGCTATGTAGCTCTTCTTTACGTTGACCTTCAAATTGGGCATCTTAACAAAATTCAAACACTATAATTTAAAGCCCCAAATTCCTCACTATCTCTTCCTCCCCACCTTCATGGAATAGGAAAATGGAGGTGTGTTACCACCATTCCTGTCCTCTTCCAATCCTCCACCCATTAATTAATTGAAACCTATATGTTGTCAATATTAAGATGCTAAAAACATCAGCTATGAAGGTAAAATTGTAAAAGGGAGAAAATGGATCCTGCTGTCTCAACCCTCTCCTAGCCAAAAAGAGAACTCTCCAACCATTCCATTAACTAATCATGAATAATGGCAAGACTTCAGACACCCCAATATCCATTTACACCACCTCTCTCCAAAACCACATCTCTTTCACCTCTACCAAGAAAGACCAGTACACAAGATCATGAGCTTTCTCATAAACCAAGCCCGTCCCACCAAATTTTCTGTTTTCCATAACAAGCTTGTTTGCTATTAAAATTTGATACATGATCTACCTATCCTTTTTATCAATAATATGAAAACTACAGCTGCCAAACCAAAAAATAAAAATTGTCATTTAAATCAGATACAGCATGCCCAGCCCTAGTTTCCCCATGGAAAATTTTCCCTTGGACCTCTAGCTTTAGCCAAATTATCAGATATTTAACTACACGATTGACAAATCCATCTAACAAGCAACTCAAATTGGATAACAAAGCAATGCTGCTCTGATCATCTATCAAAGCCACCCACTAAATGTGCTGTATAAATCAGATTAAATGGCAAAGCCCTTCCCGCCAAGTTCTCTTTTCCTCAACATACTCATTTGCTATTAAAATTTGATACATAATCTACCTTTCCTTTTTAATGAATATTTGAATAAATTCAGAAAATAAAAGCATCCCGAAACATAAAAAGAAACTATAGAAGCAGCATGAAGTTGACAAACCCAAAAACTTTGCATTTAAATCAGATTTATATCAATGCTCAGTCCTAGTATTTATTCACTCTGGTTTTAGTCAATTCAGATAAAATGACGAAGCAACACTGCTTTAATTATCTGTCAAAGCCTCCATGTGCCCTCATTTTTGTTCTCCAGCCATCCCAAAACCACCTTACAAACACCTTCAGAAATTTCATGGTACCACATTGATGGATATAAGAACCCCCCTAAGCCTGACAAAAAAATTATGGCAATGATCTTGCACAAGCCACACAACCAAGCTTATCAATCTAAACTTTTCAGAATGGCTAACTTCAGGTTTCTTAAGGATGAAGGCTAAGAACATAGCATTAACCCTTGGATTAATAATCCCCCCATCAAAAAACTCACCAAGTACTTCCACAAGTCCATTTTCAACAAGGCTGTGTTTGGTAAGAGTGCAAACACTGAAAACAATTTAAAGTTTTGCCTTGCTCATCAGTTCCATAATTACTCATCTTTAAAGCACTTTCCAATCCTCTCAATTCCAATGTATGATCTTAATCCTATCTTACTTTTGTTTCTTTTTTTTATAAGTATCCTAGCCTTGCTTTGTTAGCATCCTCTCTCTTTTTACCTAATCATAGGCACGATTACATTGCTGAGAAGAGCCAATGGGATCAATATAGGTTTCAATATAGAACTCCCCTATCTTTTCTAATTCTTCTTTCCTATCACCAAGCATGACTTTCAGTTCGATGTGCTCAAGAGATGTTTCATGATACATCTAACTACTGTCACAGTGGCAGGGCCATGAAAGTTCTTTCCCACTACTTCTCTGTTCTGCGATGCATAACGCAAAAGAGTTTTCCCCCAAAGTACAAATACACTGCATTCATTTTGCATTTGGTTGTATCTCTTTCCCCTCTAAGTGACAACTAGACCTGTCATAATCCATAGATGCAACTAAATCATTTCTTATCTGGTTTTTGCCCTCTTTTTCTTTGAGCAAAGTTAACTTTTATTTAAAGAAACAAGAGAGGATGTACAGCAGCCTGAAGAGGATAAGACAGAATTGCACGGGTAAGTATTTCCACTAAACAAACTTTCTCTCAGAACCCCTGATTTTGCTAGGCCGTCAGCAACAGTGTTAAGCTCCCTAGGAATCCAGACCAGCTTTACTTTTTTTTTTTTGATAAATGATCCAGACCAGCTTTATATTCAAAGAGCTCAAAATATCCCTAGCTTCAGCTAGCAAGTGTGCTAGTCTCCAAGACCCTCCTTCCTTCTCCCTTAACCAAGCTATAGTATTTTCCAAATCCCCTTCAATGGTTAGAGAGGATAGACCTAGCTGTTTAGCAAAGAGAATTCCTGTGAGTGCAGCCAAGACCTCTGCAGCTCTGCCTTTGCGGCACCTGGCATCTGCCCTCCCAATCGGACCACTAAAATCCCACCAAATATTCCCCCATTCCTCACGGTTAACACCTTCAATTCCTTCTTGACCTGTGGAGCCTTGTGCATTACCATCAAAGCTTGGGAGTCACCACTCCCTCCTCTCTAGCAGGAGATCTCAAAATCGATTCAGCTCTTGGAGAGAAGTGCAGGACTGCTAACAGGTTGCTCTGAAGATTGTTTAGGGAGAGATCTTTGAAAGCCTCAAAGTTAAACACCCAAAGATTACAGAGAAAAATAATAAGGGAAGTTAGGTCTTGAAATATTTTTAGCTTTATTTTCAAAAATTATGTTGTTCCTTTCTTCCCACATACCCCACAAGACTGCATGAGTCACTGTGTTCCAGTATAGCCTTCCTCTTTTTCCTAGCCCTCAGCCTTGCCATTGCCAAAGGATGTCACCACCTTCTCCAGGAATACGCAACTGTATTCCACTCAATTCAGGAAGTAGCACCAGACCTTCCTAGTGACAGGACAGTGGAAAAGAATGTCTTCAGCTGCCTCTAAGTATTTATCTTCTTTAAACAAGCCTCCCAAACAGACTGGTTTTTGCCTCTTGATTTTAACTACCCATCCTTGTCCTCCATCTGCATTCATTGCACTCCTTGCTTCCTTGCTAACCAGGTATAACCCACCTTTGCAATAATACCCTTTCTAATAGCACTTAGCCCATGGCTTTTCTTAGGGGCCATTGCTTGCCGCAATGGTAATATATTGGGCTAGCAAGTGTAAAAAACAGGTTCAAGCCTTGATGGTGTGTTGCTTATGTGATACAATGCCAGATTATATCCAAGACCCACGATGGCTAAGACAACACCCGCACTAGCAATGTCCATTCAAACAGCACACAGCATTTGTTCCTCCATGTGAAAATTATGCTCAGAGTGGACCTACTGATAATTTAAAAAAAAAAAAAAAACCTCTTTCATGTTAAATGAAGATATGGCAATATAAACACAGCTTACCGAATTATGGTCAGCTGGCCTCGATTGAGTACAATTGCGCATATTGCAAGTCGTCCTGAAGGAAAAATTGACATTACCACAACTTGGACATGTCCAATCATCTTCCCGACGACTACCTGAAGATGAGAATAATGCAAATATGTTGGCATCTCAAAAATTATAACATATAAGGAATTTGAATATGCAAATATACCAAACACTTGGCAATGACATTCTATGGCATATGGTCATGCAAATAGACGTATGCATAATAACATGTAATAACCAGAAACTAACAAATTCTTCTCAGGTCTAAAAATTAACAGGAACATTACGGCACCATAATCATCACATGATATACCACTTGGAATGAGTAGAAATAAACAAATAATAGCATGTCGCAATTGTGCATACTTTCAAGTTTCATGTTCAGTATTGGCTTGTAGCCAATGCAATATATGCTTTTATACTGGATATGCATATAATCAGAGAGAATGACCACAAAGTCCAATCTTATATAACTCGATATATAACATAAACCAACCACTCAATTTGAGCATATGGTTATCATAAGAAAACATTTGGCTAACCAAAAGTTAAAAAAAATAATAATAATAATCTTGCAATCAACCAAGGTTTTAAATTGTTATTAGCTAATATTTTTTTGATAAATGTTATTAGACCTACTCATGGTCCGGGTAGCCCGACGGACCAGGGTCGGGCTCGGGCTCAAGACCTAGGCGCACTGGTCGGGCCGGGCTCAAGCCCGGGCCTGGGTAGTGTTTTAAAAGCGCAAGGCGCAAAAAAGCGCAAGGGCACTTTGTGCCTGAGGCGCAAGGGGAGGCGCGCGCCTTTTTAAGAAAGGCGCAAAATTACAAAAAAAAAAAGCTAAAAAATAAAAAAAAATGTCAGAAATTTGAAAAAAATGCCAAAAATTCAAAAAACGTTAAACATAATGTTAATAAAAAATATAAACTTAAATTTTAAAATGACTTAAAAAACATATTATCTAAAATTAAAATACATAAACATAACATGTAAAGTGTATTCAAATGAAAATTTAAAAATAAAAGCAATCATATAAAGCATTTTCAAGCATGTAAAATCCATAATCTCTTTTTTTTTCCTTAATTGCATTGCTTTAAGTAGTTAATGTGTTGTAAAACATATTGCATTCTTGATTCTCTGAGTCGCCTTTGTACCACGCCCCTCAAAGCAAGCCCAAACAAGTCTATGTTAGGGTCTGAAATTCTTCCCAGCCATTAGACTCAAAAAAAAAAAAAACAAAAAGCGCAAAATTTTAAAAAGGCGCACACCTAGGTGCACTAGGCGCACGCCTTTTGAAAGGGGTGCGCCTAGGACCTGGGCGAGGCACATACCCCAAAATGTGCCTCGCCTATGCGCCTAGGCGCACCTAGGTATATTTTGTTAATATAGAGACAAAGCCCGGCCCTGACCATGAACAAGTCTAAACATTATTAGATAAATTATCAATAACTTCCAGTGCCAACCACTTAGCAATCAATAGAATGTATACATTGACACTAAATGTACAAATGATCAAATATAAGTGCATGTGCCTGGCTTCATTCCACTATGATTAGAGTCGAGATAGATACAAACAGCTTTGGGATGACATGAAGTCGTGCCTCTAACAGAGATAAGTTTGTTAAACAGCCACCATATCCACCTCAGGACCTATTGTTCCTTAAGATGGCCATGTTTTGTTAAACCATGTACTATTTTAGCTAATCTTGGAACCTCATTAAACAATCCATTTATATGAATTGCTAGCACCTCTGCTTCCCTTATCAATTGCATAGGAGCTATGATCCATCAATTCATGAGGATATCCAATCAATCACCACATAAAAGTCACCTTAGATTATCAATTTTGTCCAACACTCCAACCTAATATGTGTCACAACTTTAGAGTAAGAACCAACGTTTTGGCCCATCGGGTAAAACTATAGCCAAGTGAGATGTTCCCTGTCTGGTTTATAATTACACCTCAAATACCTGAAGCCCTGAAGGACCCCAAGTCCCCAACTGGCAGGGCTGCAACCATTTAAATTGAGTTTTTGTCTCTCTAATATGCTATTTTCACCATTATGAGTTCCATGGCAATATTAGCATCTTTTCTTTTGATCAGCAGACAGTATAGCATCTTTGTCCCTTATCAATGAAGATTCTCTTATTTATTTCAGTCCAGATACTTCATAATCCCTCCATGACCTTTTTTTTTATAAATATTCCTCCATGACCTTTTCACCAATTTCCATTGCATCATATTTCACATTTTGGATATATTGTCATATAAAATGTCAACTGTGTGACCCTCCATTACCACATATTATGCTTTTACAGAAATCAACCATATACCAGAGAAAACATTTCTAAGTATGTCAGATTAATGTCTTAAGGCTCACCTTAAGGCAAGAACCTCAAACTAAAACCTGAAGAAAATGCTCTAAGGCTCATGCCAAGCTTAAGGAAACAACCTTTGGCTCACACTTAAAAGTACATGGCACATGTCTTACACCTCTAGAGATGCCTTATTTCAAGAACATGTCTTTTACACATTAATCGAAGTAGGCTTCTCACCATAAAACCAAGTTAGAGATGACCTCTAAGTTTTCCATAAGTGGCTCTATCATTAATTTAAATATCTATGGTTTTAGCACCAATTTTAGGTTTTATTATACATTAAGGTCTTTCTAACATTACTTAATGATTTGTAAGAATGTTCAGTTAGTTCTTTTAGATAGCTCTTAGCACTTTGTAATCATTAAAGGCAATTAATTCATGTATATATCCTGATAAAAAAGTGAAATCCCTTTAATGCGTAATTCTACCATTTCTCTTGTTGTTTACGTTTAATTTTTTTTCTTGAGATAAGGAGATCTCACGGAGCATAAGATTCACACCATGAGGTTTATGCCTTGACTCAAACAAGCCAGTGATGTCTAATGGGGGATCCACCTGACCCTTCATTACATATCTTATTTGTATAGGGGATTCATTCACAAAATCACTTGGAAACCAACAGAAGGTAAGGTGTTGTCCTCTTCATAGTAACCATAAGTAGCTTCTTTCTTCAAATTTCACATTTTACATTACGCATAAAAACTATAAAGTATGGCAACCTTAATCACCAATGACTAAACTCGGACAAAGTATACACGAAGAGGACAACACATAGGTAACAATGCATTTGTATACATCATTCTTTAGTCGACACCTATTTAATTCTTACAAGTTACAACTATCCAATCATGCATAGTACAAGAACCTTTCAGTTCTTAAGATTGTGCATGTTCTATTAACGTACAGAGAACAACAATTTTTTTTCATGGCATACCAGCATAAATTAACCAAGTGATACAATCTTTTTTTTTTTAAGTTGTTAATGGTGAGATGATTCTGAACTCCCTTGAAAATAAAAACATCACATATACGGTGGCATTATTACATGAAGGAAATCCAAAACATAACAGATTATGCAATACATATATATATATGACGGAGAGTACCATCAGTTCGAGCACGCTTGGTTGCTGAAGAATTTCTGTTATCCACCTGCAAAAATTGAAAAAGGATAAAATTAGGAAAAGCGGATCAAAAAAACTCCCATCATTTTCAATCCCGAAGTTGATGAATGCGTTGCAACACAGTACAAAATAAACCTAAAAGTTTTACAATTCAACCTGTAAACAATAAAAATCAATAATACGCCTTGAATTAAAAGAAGCAATAATCCTAAGTTTCTATACGAGAAAACCCTAATTCCCAAAACAAACCACATAATCCAATAATAAACAGTGAAAATCTGCTATGAATAACCAGGATAGAGATGATTAGAATAAAGATCCAATATTAGACAGAATGCCAACGAAAATCATGAAGACGAAAGGAAGAGACAGACAGAACAAGAACCTGAGACATGGCGAGAAGAAACTTTTCTTAGAGCTAATGCTCGGGGTTGTGTCTTGAAGCGAGGAAACGAGAGAAGAGGGAGGAAGAAAAAGCACGAGGAGCCGACCGGGGGAACTGGTTTCGACGATTAGGGTTTCGGTGATCAGAACAATGAACGAATGTGGTAAAGGAAACAATATTCGTACTGGATCATGATGGAATGTTCCAAGTATAACAAAACGAAATTGTCCACTTCACTTTAAAACTGTTCGATTGGAACCTTTCACAAGATCAATTGAATTCATCATCTTCAGAGTATTCTTTTTTGAGACCGGATCTGTTTCACACACGGCGCCTCACAACGACCTCACAGATACATCCCACCGTGTATCAGAAATATCTTCCGTACTTATGTATTATTATTTACGAGAGAGGTTTCCAATGCTTGTGAGGTCGTTGTGAGGCTCCCTGGTGAGGAACAGATCTCAATTCTTTCTTTTTAAGCGTTTATTTACTAAGACAACCCTGTACTTTACTATATAAATTAAAACAACCTTTTGTAGTTTACATTTTACTAATACATCCTCTCATAGTTAATCCTTAAATCACAATGAGAGGATGTATCGATCGATCGACCTTCTAGCTATTGGGAGGATCTCCAATTGCGGGTTTAAATGATTTGATGGGGTACCCTCGGTTGTCTAGCCCCAGAAAAAAAAAATGTTTATAATTAGAGGTGAGTAAATAGATAGGTTGTACATGGAATTGAATGACATCAATTTTGAATTGGTCTTGAACCGACGCTACCCAATTTCCAATTTGTTATAGGGTAGTTCTTGGAACTAAACCTCACTCAAGTTGATTCTAGGGTCTCGAGGTTTATCTTATCAAAACTGACTTGATGAATTAGCCTTACAACTGAACTTGCCTTGAAATAACCCAAAATTTATTTTTAAAATATGAAAATTCGAGCCCAAGCACTCGTGGTTACAAAAGCCATGGTCTCACTTGACTATTGAGTTATTTAAGTGTTTTGATCATTTATTTTCATTTTAATATTTGTATGTGTATAAAAAATAATGTAAAGGTAATATTTACAAAATTTAAATTATAATGACAAATTTTCAACCATATATTATAAATTTATAATCTACTTATTAAACTACTCAATTTAATCAATAAAGATAATATAAGTTTTAAACTATATTGTCTTTTGAAGGACATGTTTCATTTTTTTTTCTTGAAGGGAGAGAGTAAGGAAATAATAGGTTCCACGGGTAGACCTTGAAATCAACCCCAAAACCGCCAAGGCCAAAACCAACCTTCACAGGGTAGGTTCTAGGTTCTACCATGGAACTGAACCGAACCGCCCCATGCTCACCCCTATTTATAATGGCCAAACGAAGGGTGGCTCAATTGGTACATTGACTAGTTTGTTCCAGTAGAAATGTAGATATGATTCCTACAAACTGCAACCAAGACATTTGAGACTGAGAAGTTAGTCTGAAATTTTCCCATCTCCCTTCACCATTGATGACCACCGTTACTCCCCCGCATGGGACGCCACTACGCTAGCTCAATTCACCTGAGAAAAGAAGGCGAGAACATTTTTAGGTCTAGTCATGTTGTCATAAACTTTTAAGGGTAAATTGTTGAAACCTCCCCCTAAACTTTTTCCACTGATGTTGAAACCTTCCTTGGAGTTCAATAATTACAATCACTTTTCCTAAACTTTTTGACACAATTGCAATAGACCCCCTCTCTTAGAATATGCTAATAAAATGCACAAAAATGTCTACAATACTAATACAATTAAGATTGAGAATGGTTTCTACCAAAAACAAAAACAACAATAATAAGAGATAGATAAGTTGCAAGTTTACCTTTGAGCAATTGATATGAATGGCAAATTTGAAAAATAAATCAATTTCAGAAAAAGAGAACGTAAGGGTTTGGGCTAGCCATTCATATGAAGAGAAAGTTTGAAAAATAAACATTTTGGTGAAAAGTAGTTGCATGGGTATTTTGGATATTTTCATGCTTCTTTCTAGAAAATCTTAACAAATAAAGTCTACTTGTAATTATATCACCAAATTTAGGGGAAGTAATTGCAATTATCAAACTCCAAGGAAAGTTTCAGCAATAGTCAAAAAAAGGAGGATGTTTCAGCAATTAATCAATTTTTAAATGATTATATGGTTTGTCAATATTTACAACCATTCTTTTAATAAGAAAATGGGTGTTGCCTCGCGTCACATTAAAATGGGGACAAAATAGATGTTTTGCTTTTAGGCTCAATTTGGCAGGAGTACAAATACAAATATGTAGAATGCAAAACCTTATATTTTGTATGTATTTATATTGTACATATTTGCATTTGTACTCTTTCCAAACTGAGCCTTATGATGAATACCATTGAATGGACAACGAAGGTTAAAAATGTCAAATTATACCTTCATTAAAGATAAATAGCATTAAGCAAAATTAGTACAAATTATAGGGGTGTTTTTTTGTTGGTAATCAACATAGGGGTGTTTTAATAATGCACGATTGTTTCTGTTAATACAATAAAGTACAAAGGATATTTTAGTAAATAACTCTTTTTTAATCACCACACACTTTTCATACTTGATAATTTAACAATGTAGGCTATGCATTTACCCAATTTTAAAATAAAGGGAAAATACTTGGTTAGTACCTTTTTTAATGACCACACACTTGTTATTAAAAAAGGGAAAATACTTGGTTAATACAATAAAGTATAAAGGATATTTTAGTAAATAACTCTTTTTTAATGACCACACACTTGTCATACTTGATAATTTAACAATGTAGGCTATGCATTTACCCAACTTTAAAATAAAGGCAAAATACTTGGTTAGTACCTGTACTTTGGGCTTAATGTCACTTTGGTCCCCAAACCTTAAAACACAGCAATTCAGTTTCCAAACTTTCAAAACGTGTAGTTAACCGGTCATCAAGTGGCATTTGAAAAGACACAAATGCCCTTTGAGTGTTATTTAAATTTCTTTATTAACCATCTAAATGTTGACAAAAATTGAACAGTCCTAAATCATTTTCTCTCCTATTTAAGAAAGTTGGGGTTACGTCTCAATGGGCATTTTTGTGACTCCAACTTTCTTGAATAGAAAAGGCAAGGATTTGGGATTGTTCATTTTTTTGTCAACGTTTAGATGGTTGATAAAGAAAATTAGATGACACTCAAAGGTCATTTGTGTCTTTTCAAATGCCACTTAACGTCTAATTAACCGTAGGTACAAATTGGCATGTTTTGAAAGTTTGGGTACTAAATTGTAGCATTTTAAAGTTCATGACCAAAGTGCATTAGGCCTAAAGTACAGGGTATTAATTAGGAATTTTCCCTAAAATAATAGGTCTTATTGACCGCAACATGAGTTTAATTCACCCAATGATACATGAGGGTGAACTAAGGGTGGCTAAAATTGGGTTGCACTACTCAAAATGGCCCCTATGAGGGATTTAGGTGTATTATTAAAAACAAATTGACTTGGTTAACAATTGTTGATTTGAATTTTGAACTGTTGACCCCTTTTGACCCAAACAATGGATTTTTTTTTTAATTATTTTTTTTTTATTTTTAAGTTGGAATGGGCCATCCATTCAAACCGGACGGTCGAACTGCTAACCCAAAAACTAATGGCCAAAGCGGTTTTGGTTCTAAGTCGGTTTTTAAAACTTTATAACCAAGTGTGCATGCGTGCACACACACACAGCGCTACGCTACTGAATTTAGCCAAATTTATACATGTCACATTTGCATATGTTGCTTAAATTTGTTATTTAGTCACACCATGGTTGAGATTTGAGAGAAATTTGATGATTTTAATATTTTATTTTTTTATTTTTTATCTTTATGACTGAAATATATATGCCTTGTGCATTATGAAATTTAAAGTCAGATTTCCTTGTAGACGGTGTTTGTTTGGTAATTTTTTCTCTCTTTCTTAATATAGATGTGTAAGCCAACTAGCTTTTGCGAGGCTATGGTAGTGGTCTACCTTCGAAAGTCCAAAGGAATGGCAGTGGTTGTAGACTAGAGGTCGGTAGAATAGAGAGGGAGAATATGGATCCTTTCTCCTCCATAATGGGTTTAACTAATGTATTTAATTAATTAGGCCCCCATATGGGTATGGGGCTTATTTATAGTGATTTGAAGCTTCATCTTACAAAATCTTTTTATTCTTAATTTTTGTCAATTTTGCCCTTATGCTCAATTAATGCATGTGCTCTTAGTTGCCATTCTAGAATGTTCTTAAATATCTTTTTTTATATAGAAAGTCCCAACTCTTGGTTCATTTGTAAATAATTGGCAAATAATTGGTTTGACTCAATCCGATCTAACTCTAATTTATGTTGGGTTAGCCTAGTTAATGTGCTTATATAAATCCATTATCTTAAATTACCCCCCCCCCCCACTTAACAATGGTGAAAGTCTTTTGTTAAGCAAAAATTAGGTTAGGTGTTTAACTACTATATTCAGGTATTAGGCCCCATTTTGAGAGCAAGATTTCAAAATGATGTTTCTAAAATTGAATATATTGTTATTGTTGAAGATTTTTTGTTGCGATATTAGCCTATAGAGTTCTAAAACAATTTAACTCCAAAGAATTTTTTAAAGATTAGCCCCCAAAATATTGAAGAGATTTGTGAAAGATTAGTTCCCAAATGTTTGAGGAATTTTCTGAAAGATTAGTCTCTAAAAGTTTAAAGAAATTTTGCGAAAGATTAGCCCTAAATGTTTGAGAAATTTTCTAAAGGAGATTAGCTTCCCAGAATTTCGAAGAAATTTGTGAAAGATTAGCCCCCTAAGTGAGAGAAGTTTATAATATTGTAAGATTTTTTCGAGATCAGTGCATTAATTTATATTATCATTTTTTTGCGATTTTGTGCAATAAAAAACAATGCTAAAGTAAAATCATGGTCATAGTAAGGTTGAGTGATGTTATTCAGAGCAAAGTCGTGCTAAAATGGGTGAGGCCATCAAGCAATGTGGCCAAACTATCGAGGGTAAGGTGAGGCAAAATTAGTATGTAGTCATAGGGCATATTCTTAATGTAAGGTGACAAGGAGTGAGGCCAAATTTAAAAATGAGGCACAAGGCACACGGTACGAGGTGTGAAGCAAAAGTTACGAAGTTACAATTTTGAATGCATAACAAGTC